TTTTTTTTTTTTTTTTTTTTTTTTTTTTTGAGATGGAGTTTCATTCTTGTTTCCCAGACTGGAGTACAATGGCACCATCTCAGCTCACTGCAACCTCCTCCTCCCAGGTACAAGCGATTCTCCTGCCTCAGCCTCCCAAGTAGCTCGGATTACAGACATGTTCCACCACACCTGGGCTATTTTTTCTGTATTTAGTAGAGACGGGGTTTCACCATGTTGGTCAGGCTGGTCTCGAACTCCTGACCTCAGGTGATCCTCCCACCTCGGCCTCCCAAAGTGCTGGGATTACAGGGATTATAGGTGTGAGCCACTGTGCCCCCGACTAGGACCTGCAGTTTCACATGCTCCTCAGTGCTTCTCAGACGTGTTCATGAACCAGCTGGGGACTTTGCCGTGCGGCTGACTCTGGTCCCTGGCAGAGCAGGGGCCTGGACGGTATAGGGCCATGCTTAGGCTTTCAGTTTCTGGCATTCAACGATGGCGTTTGCTATGGTTTGGACATGGTCTGTTTGTCCCCGCCAAAACTCATGTTGAAATTTGATCTCCAATGTGGTGGTGTTGGAGATGGACCTAGCGGGAGGTGCCTGGGTCACTGGGGTGGGTTCCTCATGAATGGCTTGGTGCTGTTCTCCTGGTAGCCAGTAAGCTCTTGCTCTGGTGAGACTGGATTAGTTCTTGAGGGGATGGATTTGTTCCCACAAGAGCAGGTTGTTATATGGCCAGAGACTCCTCGTACAAAACCCAGTACCCACTGTGCTTTGGCCACAAGCTCTCAGATGGTGGGGTCTGTGGCTCTCCTGGCTTCCACCCCAGGATTTCCCTGTATCCTCTCCACTGGGCCAGCCCCCCCAACGCTTCAGCACACCAGCATCCCAGGCAAGGCTTAGCATAAAAAGCCACCCTAAAGCCATGAAGGAATCTACTTCAGGGTGTCCCTTCAGTTTCCTTGGAGCCTCCTCAGGCAAAGGGTCCCCGCTCTCTAGGCTCCTGGACTCTTCACCTTGGCTCCCTCTCCCCACTTTGCCCTGCAGGGTTTGTACGGAGCTCTGGTCTGGGAGCCTTGGGACTTTCTTGGTGGATGCCCCAGTTCTGTCTCTGGTCCCCCCTCCAGCTCCGCCAGCAAGAGCAACGGCCCTCTTACAGTCACCTGACTAACATGCTGAAAACCCCATGTCTACTTTTTTTTTCCTCGTAAAGATGGGGTCTTGCTATGTTGCCCAGGCTGGTCTCAAACTCCTGGGCTCAAGTGATCAGCCTGCCTCAGTTTACCAAAGTGCTAGGATTACAGGTGTGAGCCAGCACACCTGACTGTCATGAGCCTTTTGAGAACCTGTCAGTGAAAGTGGGTGAAGGAGGCAGTGGAGAGGCTCTGAGGCTGGAAAGAGGGAGGGGCTCCACTTAGAGCAGGGAGCCAGGTGGTGGGCCCCTCTGGGTGGGCTGGAGGTCAGATTGAGACTCTGTTGCAAACAAATAGAATGCTAAACAACAAAATACATATAAGGGAATCAGCAGTTTTGGATTTTTCCCTATTTCAAAGCTTTTGGGAAATATTGCAAAATTACTTTTTAGGACCCTGCCTTGTAGCTGACTGTGAAGCACATGCTTTGACTGTCATTGAGAATCCCAACATTGCAGACGCCACCGTCTCCATCTCCCCCTGCCCCCAACCTCCATCACTATCACCACTGCCACCATAAACTTTCTCAGTTGCACAGATGACTTATATATTTGTCTATTCTGTGCTCCCTTTCTGGGGAACCTTGCCCCACTCCAGGTGACTCTGGTGAGCTGTCAATCATAGAGCCCTACCTTACTTTTCCAAATCTTTACCTGGACAAAATATCTCGGCAAAGTACTCGAGCACTCTCTTCTCCGGGCCATTTTCTTCAGCCTGTGTATTGTAAACCACATTTCCTTAGCTTCCCAGCTTCCTTCAGCTTGTTCTCTGTAAACCGCATTTGTGTCCCAAGGCGTACAAAGTGTGGCTGCTTTTGCCACTTAATATTATATCGTGAACATTTCTGGATATTCATTCTTTGAAATCACCATTTTTATTGCTGCACAGCATTCCATCCGATATATTTATGCCAAACTACATTAAACCAAGTCCCTAATTACAGACATTTAGGTTCTTCTTTTTATGTCTTTTTTTCTTTGTTTTTGAGACCAAGTTTCACTCTTGTGGTTGGGTGGTGGTAGGGTGGTGTTTTTTAACATAGAAAAGTACATTTTTTAAATGTATTCAAATCTATCATTCTTTCCATTATATTTCTTAATTTGTGTGTGCTTAGAAGTGCTTCCCTACTTGAGCTCATAACTATTTTCTTCTGTTTCTCATAATTTAAAAAATTAGGAATTTAGCCATTGAAAAAATTCCTTTGTCTGCCTTTTTCTAGGTTCTCCGTTTTCTCGGTTGGTGTCTGCCTCCAGGACTATACGTTCTTCAAACAACTGGCCTGCGAGCTCCTTTTCAAACTGGACCCAAATCTTCAAAGGACAGAGAAAGGAAGATTATCTACTTACCAAAGCAGTCACTGGGGAAAGTGGGGTATCTCAAATCTCTTCCACCTCAAGGCCTGCTCATCCCAACTTCCGGTTGTACTTCCTCTATGGAAAGATGAAGCAATACTCTTTGAGCCATCTGTGTTCCCCTCAGGGATGGTGGTCTTCAAAAACGGCAACCCAAGAAGGTCGGGGTCGGCCACTGTTACCAGGCCTCAAGCCCATAACCAGAAGTGGATTTGTTCTCCATGGGCACCTCCTTTTTTCCAGCCCTCCCCACTCATTGCTGAATAATACAGAGCCAGGGCCCAAGGTGCAACCAATGCCATACACTCTTGAGTACACAGGGGAGAGAGAGCTGACATGTTTTGGACACTGCGTGCCAGACATCAGTGTATACATGTAACTTCATTTGCATCCTACCGGCACCCTATCAGCACCCAACCACTATACTACACAACCCTACACCACCTTACACCACCCTACTACCACCCTATCACCACCCTATACCACCCTACTACACCCTACACCACCTAACCACCACCCTACACCACCCTACCACCCTCCTATACCTCCTACCACCTTACACCACCCTACAGCACCCTACAGCACTATACAGCACCCTACCACCATACCACCAGCCTACCGCCCTACCACACCCTACACCGCCCTACCACACCCTACACCACTCTATATCACCCTATCACCACCCTACACCACCCTATGGCCACCATACACCACCCTACCGCCACCCTACCGCCACCATACACCACTCTATACC